AGGGAAAGATCGATATCAAGGTTCAAAACACAAAACTTTTCCTGTAGGTTTTTCCTGTAGCGCCAGCATTATTCACATTAAACATTCTTTTTTTATTCTTTTCAAAATACACTCGAGTCAGATATAAACTTTCCTAGATCAAGAGTAATATAAAACAAGCTTCTAGAGATTTTTATTTTATGCATCACGCTTTTCCTCCCTGAGGTCTTGAGGCAATTCACAGTTAAACACCTAAATGCAAAATGAAACCCCTTTGACAATTTAACACTAGCCACCGGACCATCTGTGGGACAGGAAATGGACTATCAAGAGCTCTCCAGTAATCTGGAAGTCAACTACTAAGTAAAGAGTGAACAGTAGCATCTAATGACCTCAGCTGAGACTGTACATCCATTGTAAGAGACATAAGACGTATATCCAAAATAAAAAGTCTCAATCTCTGCACTCAAGGCTCCATCGCTTAACGCGAGTGGGACAAAAGCGGTACTATCAGTCATATCTGCAGATGGGAAACAGAGGCACAAAGAGCTTTGAGTGACTTCGTGCAAGGTTATAAAAGAAGCCTGTGGCAGAGCCAGGAACGGAGCCGGAAGCCCTGAATCCACAGCCCAAAGCCTTTAGATACTGAGACAATCCCTCCTTTTTCTCATCTCCTCTATTTCTCTCCCTTTACTTAACTAGTTATCTAGCAGAGGAAACACAGTAATACCATGACAGGCTATTTTCTTTTTCTATTTATAATATCTATTCAATTTTATCTAGTTAACAGAGGATACAAAAGTGTTACAGGAAAAAATAGTTAAAATCGTACAATTGTCAATGTATAACCAGAATTTGGTATCTCAGAGAGCATGAGAACAAACAAAAATGTGCATGTATGATTTAGAGACATGCTAATTTGCCTGCACATCTCAAAGTGTTTTCTATCTATTACTGCAGAGTATTAACAGACATCTAGCTCCACTTCCTCAAATTAAAAGATTTCACATAGGAAAATTTGCACCTTGCCTCTCCTTACTTCCATGAGAGGGAACACATCCAGAAACATATTTAAAACTGAATAGTCTAAATATTTAGATGCACTTTTTTTTTCTGTCTTTAATAAGAGGGAAAAGCCATATTTGTACAAATTCATACGAATACAACCTCAAGATCGGCCACCAATCAGATAATGATTTTCTAACCTGCCAGGACAGAAATCAATCATGAAACTTGACTGCTTCTAACAAATTTTTACAACTACATTTTTCCCCAAATTGTGTACTTTGCCATTTGATCCATTCACCACAGAGCAGATCTCTTCTAGGAGCATGCTGACCAGGGGGTGCTTAATGATACAACATTCTTATTTACTCTTGTTTACAGCTGATCAGAACATCTATTCCAATCTATACCTGCTATTATGCTTGACTACCCCCATGTGTGTTTTCAATGCTTTGTTAGTGTTGTTATTGACCTACAAATGGCACATTTTCAACCACATTAAGAGTTTCCTGGTGACAAAGTCCCTGCCAGGATATTAGCTGGCCAAGGACTGTGGTGGCAACAACAGCAGCATTCATTCCAGGTCCTACCAGACCTATGAATCCTGCTAAAGAGTCTGTATTTTCTCCAGGGCATTTAGGATGAAAGAAAAACGACTGCTAACGTCATGCACTCAGTCCAACAGCTAGTCAGAGAAGCTCAAGCTCTCACTAGCATAAGGTGGCCCAGTGTCCCTAGTGCCCCAACTTGTGTGCTGAGCTCAAACACCTGGCTGGCAGGAAGGAAGGAAGGAAAAGAAAAAAATCTCTCTCCATTTTTTGGCATTTTAGCTGCTTCAGTGGTTCCCAGGCATGTCCACCGAGCCCAAGCGACGGCTGCTGCAGCACTGTGGGTTTGGGGCTGAGAGTTTTCCTATGACTTTCCTGCGTAGACAAGCGTGAGAGTGGAAATGTGGATTGATAATACAGTGTAACATGACTAAGCTTAACAGAAATTCATGTAACAAACTTCTTCTGTTAAGTTTTTCTTTCGCCCCCAAGTTAGACAAGCTTACTGCAAACATCTGAAATGTCAGGGATTCCCAAGAGGAAAACAAAGCATTAGGAGCACACTGAGGAAGAATTTAGTCAGGCAGGTAGGAAGTCCCCTTCAACACCTGAACAAACATCTTCTAATTGATGTGATCATCCTTTACCATTTTCCTTGCACAACTCACCAGAAGCCATATTACCAGGGGTTTCTCTAGTTTGCCAACAGATTAAAGACAGGGAGAAGGGAGGGGGGGAAGGGAAAGCATTCTTAAGACTTTTCTGTCTGCATCAATTTTTTTCAGTGACATACAGCACAATGCATTGGGATTACACTGTCGATATTCATTCAGCATAAGAATCAGCACTATTTAGCATGGCTAACCTTTGAGATACCCACACATTTGAAAAGGTGAATTATTCCCTTATTTCAGCCTACCTACACTCAGTTCGGAGACCAGCCTCCATAAAAAGTCAACCATAATAGGCTTTTCAGACTATACAGACAACTTGGCTAGGGATTTCACTGTCACTAAGAAGACAGCTCTTATGCTAAGAAACTACTTGGACTATAAAGAAAGTAGCAGGAGAATTAGCATGTCTTAGGCATATATGAGTTTGAGAAAAAAAATACACGTATCATCTTAAAGTCATTTTAAGATAAGCCTGTCTTCTCGTTCAGACATTAATGCATATCTCCAATTCCTACCAATTGACACAGTTAAGTTTAAGACTCCTTCAGTAAGCATGCACAGTAAAACTACCTTAAGGAACTTAATACTTATATTCATACATACATACGCTTGGCATACTTTTTTAAAAAAGTGAGAAAAATCATAATAAGAACATAAACTTGAAAGCAGGTACACTATATATTTTCACATCATCTTTTTAAGGAAAGCAGGCTCACGTGATAACGCAGCCCTTGACTAGCCCCCAGATGCTCGCTCCTGATGGCCATTTCTAACAGCAGGCTGCAGGTCTTAATACCCTTAGGAGCTGTCAAAGCAGAAAGGTTTTCACTAAAGAAAGCACTAAATTAGCCCCCACACAAAAGAGAGCGCTGCGGCATGAGCTTAACTATTATGTGTCCTCTCAGGCAAGCTGGCTGGGAGCAGAACTGTGGGGCAGAACAGAGGCTCACGACGGGTAGAGCCCTGCGCTGCCTTGCTCCGACCGGCATCCAGGGAAAGGAGCAGGGGGCACGCGTGGCAAAAGGGAAGGGAAACACAGTTATTCCAGTGGCGCGGGATCATCAGGATTGCGGCGAGGAAGAGGGTCAGCGCAGGGGGGTCCGTGAGCGACTCCCCGGCCCGGCTCCGTCGCTCCGGAGGGCTCCAGGCCGCTCGGCGCCGGCGCGTTGAGCGCAGCGCGGGGGACGCCAGCAACGGGGCTGCAGCTCCGCATTAACCGTTCCTGAAAACCACGGCATCCTCTGAACGGGCATTTACGAGTTTAGTATTTCTTCGGGGTACAGGCAGGATGTTTATGACTTGACAGCCCTCATCGACATGCACTTCATTTAGTGTAACAGCAGCTTTCATTTATTAGTTCCCCCTCAGCAAAATTAGTTCAAGAAATCTGACCCTGCCACTCATCTAGAAGCAGATTTTTTCCCCAACTCCCAGAGTGGAGCTGCATTTATAACCATCTTTATGCTACAGTTGGCAAAACAAATAAAGCATTCACCTCAACGTTGTCCATTAAATTGGCATTTTATTTTCTGATTTTTTTTCCTTAAACCCCCTTTTCATACAGCAAGTTCCTCTTTGCTCCCCGTCCCTACCCTTCAGGGTAAGCTCATGTTTTTGAATCACTGCCTTTCTAATACAGGGGGACTCTGGGCTAAGTGGACAAAAGATGGAAACATAATTTTTCCCCATAGGAAAGAAGACACAAGAATGCTCGTATTACCTTAAGGAACTTTGAAACCCTGGAAAGAAAGATGTATTCAGATTTACTGTAAAGTGCTCTAGTCTGCTAATAATATTCACTGAGTATCAGTTAATTGCATGACGAATCCACATGGCCACAATTTCGATGGCACATGGTATAACATAACTAATAAATTGAAGCAACTTGAAGCAACAATCCATATGTTATCACTTTCAACTCTACAAAACATCTGGAAATGCAAATGATACTCAACAGGATATTGCAGAACATTAAAAAGAGAGCAAAATATTCTATATTCAGTTTTATTATTTTTCTAATAAGTTTTTGAGAAATTCTGAAGTGCAGTCATTCACATATGTAGTACCTCGCTGCACCAGAAACCTTTAAGAGGGGAAGCAGTCTTTGGGATCACAGAGTTATTTACTGCAGTCTACATGACAGTACATAAAGGAGTTACACAGGCATTTTGCTTCAAGTTGAAGCAAAACGGGAAAGAAAACACCTAGTCGCTTGGAGATTCACCTCAAACACTGAAGCTCTGAGTGTACAGGCTTCATAAAATGTGTGGCAAAGCCTTTCAGAGAAGCTAGTCTGCCTTGTTATTAGCTAAAACAAGCAAGGTCAGTCATTTCCTAAAACAATTTTTCCAAACATAGGTTCTAGAACGGATAATCATAAATGAGGCTACTGAAGCCTTCAGCATAAGGTATGCCAGAGTTTACAGCTTGCACGGATCTGCAGGGACAAGAATACAGCCATAAGGCATTTTTCCCCCCCAGTCACAACACACAGATTTTATAATTACTTAGAAGGAAAAATATTGGGAAAACTACTTAGAGGATAAAAAACTTCAAGAAAGTAGGAAAATAAAAGTACAATTAAATTATCAATCACAGCAAATCAAATATACTAACAAAACAACAAAACAAAAAAAAAAAGTGAATGTCTAGCTCCTTAGAAGGCAATGGCAAAACTTTGATGAACAAGAGCAAGTTTCCCTGCTTGTTGCTAAACATTTATTATATCTAACCTAAAAGAACCTCACTGCTGACCTGAATCATTACAGGAAGTGCAACAGTCAAAATACAGTCTCCAGTCTTGCAGGTGACAAACCAGGAACAAGTTCAAGTGCTGTTCTTCACAAGATGTTTATCTTTAAGCTTTCCTTGCTTAAGCTTTCGACATAAATCATCGCGTTATGACTATGTAACTTCCTTCTAAAAGACATTTAAGGTATGGAGATGGTTTTCTCCCTACCTCATCAACTGAAGATTCAAAAAGAAAGGATAATCCTTAACTAATTGGTATTTACAGAACAGTAAACCAACACTGGTTTTGCCAGTAGTCTAAATCAGTACTCCCAACTATTTTGTTCTGCCACCTGAACTATCCATCCGATTGCCTTTCCTCCAAAGGGAAGACCATCAACTGCTTTGAAAAAAGTGCAGAAAAAGATAGAATTGCAACAAAATACCAACTCCACAACACAGAGCTTGGTACTTACCCTAACGGGAGGGCTCCGCGCCTGCACTCTTTGCTGCTGTCCAGCTTGAGAGCTCTGAGGGTCCTTCGATCCGCAGTTTGCAGCCGTGTTGACCGGGACCCTTAACGCAGTTGTGCTGCCAGTCCCAGCACCAGTGCCAGGTTTCCGAGGCCTCTGTTTGATGCCATCCAGTAGTCTGACAAGCAAAATATTACTGGGGAGTTCATCAACACCGCAGTCCACCAAAGTCCTGCACTCTGGGCACCGAAGCTCATTTCGAGAGCTCACGATGCCCAGCAGACAGCGCTTACAAAACGTGTGCTGGCAAGGCAGGACTTTTGCAGAAGCATCAAGGCGTTCTAAGCAAACGGGACACTCCAACAGATCCAGCAGAGCTGATTCATCCATTTTCGTTATGTTACTCAACCGGAAAAGCAAATCTTTGCAGAATTTGCGTGTTTTGCGCACTCCAAGGATATCATGTTACATCCATTCCTCTTCCAGCTGTGCTCTGAATTTTTTTTTCAGGGTTTAAAAAAAAGGCATTAATAACCTGAGAAAAAGAGTCAGGAGAACTGCATTATCTGAAGATATTCACGCAATGTACAAGATAAATAAAAGCTCTCTAACCTAACACAAGCTTTAAAAAAAAAGTCACCCTACATGAACTCTTAAATAGCAATAAATACGTAACAGCAATAGCAGCTTAGATTAACACAGATGTCTAGTTAAAATATTACAGTAAATACTAATCAATGCCAAATGCTACAGTAAATACTAATAGATTTCTGGGAACATCTTCAGTTTTCTCAAATAATTCCAGAACAAATAGATGCCTCCCCAAGACAACATGTTAATAAAGCAGAAACTACGAAAAAAAAATCAGCTCGATACACCTGCATCCCCGTACGTTCATTTGAGGTTGCTCTCCCCACAATGAAAGGTGACAAATCTGAGGGTCAATAAACTACAGCTCGTGCCACAACAAGGAGGCCTCGCCAGCAGGGAGGAGCACGGGGGAATCGTGCTGAAGCCAGCGGGAGCAGAAGAGACTTCTACCATTTCCAGCGCTGCTGCGAAACGTGAAGCAACAGATTATGGGGAGCAGCCCTGGAAGCTGCCAGGGGCTCACGGGCTTCCGAGCTCCCGGCGAGGAGCCGCTTCCCGGGGACCCTGCACTTCCCAACTATCGCCCTGCGCTCCCGGCAGGAAGTGCCGCTGGAATATCGCTCGCAGGACGCGAGCGGGGACGGAGGCCGGGGCAGGCGCTCCTCGCGCCGTTTAATTTGCACAGCAAAGCCGCTGGCGGCGGGCGAGGGAGGGAGCGACGCGGAGGGGAGAGAAGGGAAGGCGAACAAGGGAAGGGAAGGGAAAGGGGGGACGCTCGCCAGGAAGTGGCGGGAGGCGGCTCAACAGGCGGCGCGGCCGGCGCCCGGGGGGTT